CCCCACGGTATCTGCTTTGCCCCCTGCTCCCTGGGCACAAAGCAGCAAAGGCTGCTGGGCACCTCCAGCAAAGCCTGTTACTTGAGAGGAAGTAGTATTCTGCCAAGCTGTGGCTCAGAAATGAGAACTCAGCCCTGAGCAAGTAACCCACTACAGAAGCTCTCCGCTTCGGTGTCTATTGGTCACATAGAGACCACTCCAGCTTCCCAGAGAGTTCAGGGGACCAAGTGTAAACTGAATGTTTGTGAAAGTGGACTGAAGACCATACCCGTGGTATGTTATTGTTATACAAAGTGAAAACGTGGTGGTGGGATCTGCTCTGTGACAATACAGTACAAAATGAAGACAATGTGCAAAAGAGACCCTCCTTCTTATCCATGAAAATGGCAAGAGCCCTGGCTGGGTGGCTCAGTTGGTTAGAGCCGTGGTCGGCAAACCACGGCTCGTGAGCCACATGTGGCTCTTTGGCCCTTCAGTGTGGCTCTTCCACAAAATACCACATGCGGGCGCGCACCACATACAGTGCGATTGAAACTTTGTGGCCCATGCGCAGAAGTCGGTATTTTGTGGAAGAGCCACACTCAAGGGGCCAAAGAGCCGCATGTGGCTCATGAGCCGCAGTTTGCCGACCACTGGGTTAGGGCATCATCCTGTACACTACCAGTAAAAGGTTGCTGGTTTGATTCTGTCAGGGCACACACCTATGCAGTCAGGTACAATCCTGGGGCACATATGCCAGGCAACCAATTGATGTTTCTCTCTCACATCAATGTGTTTATTTCTCTCCCCGCTTTCCCCTTCCTCCCTCTCTCAAAAAAATCAGTAAGAACATATCCGTGGGTGAGGATTAAAAAAGAAGAAAATGGTAAGAAAGAGAAACCAGGCCTGGGGAAGGCCTGGTGTGCGTAGCATGAACTCCTGTCTTCATCGGGTATTTTCTTCCCTGTTTGCTTTCAGTGACGCCTCCTTGAGCTCTTCACACGCAGATCAGGAAAACACAGATTTCTGCAGGGTTGGCCTCTGTCTGCTTCTCAGAATCAGTAAAAAAATTTTTTTTAAATATATTTTATTGATTTTTTACAGAGAGGAAGAGAGAGAGATAGAGAGTTAGAAACATCGATCAGCTGCCTCCTGCACATCCCCCACTGGGGAAGTGCCCACAACCCAGGTACATGCCCTTGACCGGAATCGAACCCGGGACCTTTCAGTCCGCAGGCCGACCCTCTATCCACTGAGCCAAACCGGTTTCGGCAAGAATCAGTAAAATTTTGTAAAACTCAAGGTTTTACTGAAAGCTGACAGCACTACTTATTATAGTGGCTTACCACCTTCCCTGCAGACTGAATGTGTCTTTCCATCCTGAATTAGTCTGAGTAAGTAGGAAGAATTCTGTTCATTATTACTAATACAAAACACACAAGAAACACAGTAGTGTCCAAGGATACCGAGTTCCTGGGTCCTAATCATTCTTTTACGTACCAAAAATATGTTCTGAATTGTTCTGGCCAGGCTGGCAGACAGCCTGACCACTCATTCTCCCTTGGGTGCAGCCTAGTCCTGTGTGCAAGTGTGGAGTGAGGGGCCGATGCTCATGTTGACCTTTGGGCATCCACCATGCAAGCCAGTGGGGAGGACCTGTCAGCCCTGCTAAGGCCACTGAAGGATACTCTCGTTAACAGTCTTTTCTTCATCTACTTCAGTCTTTCATTTGATTGACAATGTAAATGTCATCGCTGAACACTGAAGCCCTAAATGGAAACTGTGGTGAACTGGGCTAGAAGTGGTAGGACCAGGCTAGAGCCCAAGTTTTTTTCTGCTACAGGGCAAAGTAACAACATGCTGGAAGATTCTATGAGTTGATTTGGCCTGTGATTTGCAGCTTCTGTGATCAGGTAAGCTTCTGTGCTCCCTTGCATTAATGGTCAGTTGTCTATTTTCAAGAGCAAGTAAAAGGAAACCAACCTCATGCTAATTTAAATTACAAAACTAGCTCAATAAGAGGAGGTACCAAAGCAGGGCAGGTTCAGGGTTAGAGAGTATCCCCAAGAATCAAGCTCTTTGGGTTTCTTTGACCTTTCCACTATCAGTTTGATTCCTGGGCTGGTTCTCAAGAGGCCGGCTCAGCCGTGGGCAAAACTACGGCCCACGGGCCGGATCCAGCCCGTTTGAAATGAATAAAACTAAAAAAAAAAAAAAAAAAAAAAAGACCGTACCCTTTTATGTAATATTTACTTTGAATTTATATTAGTTCACACAAACACTCCATCCATGCTTTTGTTCCGGCCCTCCGGTCCAGTTTAAGAAGCCATTGTGGCCCTCGAGTCAAAAAGTTTGCCCACCCCTGACCTAGAGGCCTTGTTGTTAGACACAATTCTGACAGTGTACTCAGAACACCCTGAAGGTCAAAAGCCACAGGGTACCATCCCATCTCTCCCCAAGGTGAAGGACAGAATCCAAAGCTAAGTGCAGAAAAGGCTTTTCCAAGGAACCTTTAGCTTCAAGGTGCACGTCCTGACCTGTAGTGAATAGGCTGTGAGGTTGAAATAATCTCATTAAGAAACTCAAGGAATGCCACTTTTAGACTTTGTGAGTTGAAAGGCCTTAAAAAAACATTAAGTCTTTACATCAGGATATATTAGTGCAGAGGTCTAAGAAGTCTTGACTCTTAAAAATACCTGTCTCTGGTTTTGGAAGATCCAAAATTTGATTGGTTACTGATAATAGTTAGGTATAGTGATTTTTTAAATGTATGTTATTAAAGGTTGACTACCCACTTTGAATGATTTTCCTAAGAGATAAATAGTAAATGACTTAATGTTTCTCATTAGAGAACAGTAGGATCTTGTAACAGAAGACATTTTCATGAATTAAGAAATTAATGTGAGCGAAGTATATATTGTACTACTCAGCAAATGATAGTATGTTTGAGTTTTTCAAAAACAATTTTTCTTAAAAACAGTTATGATATCCTAAGAGTCTTTGAATCTTTTAAAAATTGGTAGTAATCTGGTTACTTGGCATCCAGGACCTTGGAGATTTTCAAAGAATATAATTTTTTCATTAAGATAGTCATAGCTTGAATCATATAGGTTGAACCTCCTAAAATTTTTTCTGAAGGTGATGATTATTCTTAGAAACTAATTTAATAAATGCTAGTATTGAAAGAATCTTCATAAGTTTTGCCTGTACTTGCTATATAAATATGTACGCCTATCATTTTATTACCTTTGTTTCTTATGCTGTTCCTTTGTAAATAAAATGTAAAATAAATGTACTTTTGTAACTTGGAAAAACAAAAACAAACCAAACCAAAACAAAAAAAATCCACTCATCAGAGGAACCGAACCGTTCCCTTTGACCTTCACATAATCTTCCATAAAAATGATTTAGATCAAAAAAAAAAAATGATTTAGATCCTTTTTGTTATGAAGCAAAAGGGTAATGCCATCTGTAGATCCTCATTTAATTGGCAGCATGTTTCAAGCGGGTATTTTGAAACATGAAAACATTTGGCCTGTACAGCAAGAATTCAAGTTACTCAATTTCATTTTATATCAAATAAAGAAGTGGCTCTTTACGAAAATAATAAATAGCCATAGCTGGTTTGGCTTAGTGGATAGAGTGTCGCCCTGTGGACTGAAGGGTCCTAGGTTCAATTCCGGTCAAGGGCACGTACCTTGGTTGCAGGCTTCACCTCAGCCCAGGCCCCGAAGGCTACCAATCGATGTGTTTCTCACACATTGATATTTCTCTCTCTCTTTCCCTCTCTCTAAAAATCAATGGAAAAATATCCTCAGGTGAGGATTAAAGATAGATAGATAGATGGATAGATAGATAGAACCTACTTCTGAGCAATCCATATCATAAACCAGGGAACCGTGGACAGATGAATTTTTTGAGAATTTAATTTTACATCATGCTTCAAGATATTTGAACCAAGTTACAACTTGGAAATAATACCTTTTCAAGGCCCAGGAAACCCCAGGTCAGAAGCTAAAGGGACATGACTTTCAGTAAGTCATGCTGGATAAGGTGTTCCTGTGTCCCACCTCCCCCATGACCAATTCACCACAGGGTCAGTCTTTCCCTTTTCTCTTCCTGTGAAAAATAAGGGCCAATTTTATAGAAGTTAAGATCTAAGTAGCCTTCTACTGTGACAGAACCTGACTTTTAACAGAATCATGGAAGTGGGTAGAAGAGAGTTTTCTTCCTCTCAAAGTTCTCAAGGACAGAAGAGAGGAAATAAGCAGAAATAACTATTAATAAATGTTCCATCACTTGCTAGCCATCTGACTTTGGAGAAGTCATTGCCTCTATTTAATTTGTTGTTTTTGTTAATTCTCACCAGAGGATATTTTCTATTTATTTATTTATATTTATTTATAATTATTTTTTATGAGGGTGCAAGGGAGAAGAGACACAGAGAGAAACATCAATGTGAGAGAGAGACACTGATTGCCTCTAGCACACACCTCCACCAGGGCCAGGGATCGAGCCTGCAACTGAGGTATGTGCCCTTGACCGGAATCAAACCTGGGACCCTTAGTCCAGTGATGGCGAACCTATGACACTCGTGTCAGAGGTGACACGTGACTCATTTTTTTGGTTGATTTTTCTTTGTTAAATGGCATTTAAATATATAAAATAAATATTAAAAATATGTCTTTGTTTTACTATTGTTGCAAATATTAAAAAATTTCTATATGTGACATGGCACCAGAGTTAAGTTAGGGTTTTTCAAAATGCTGACACGCTGAGCTCAAAAGGTTCGCCATCACTGCTTTAGTCCATGGTCCGATGTTCTACCCGCTGAGCCAAACCAGCTAGGGCCTCTGCCCCTGTTTAAGATCTCAGCCTCTTAAGCTATAAAAGCAAGGTAATATAATTATTTTGAAGATTAAACAAGATAATATGTAAGTGTAAGGAACATGCAATCTGGTATTCTGCAATTATATCTGTTCAGATTCCATTCTTAACAAATAAGGCTAATAACAATTATAGGAGGTTTAAAAGTTTATTTTATGTCATAATTATATGATATAAACAGAAGTTTCACAAAATATTACTATATATAGCAATAAAGCATAAGCTATTACAGAAAAATTGATACAAAGATGTACAAAAGTACTTATGAAGGTAATTATTAAGCCTTCCTATGAAAATAAAAAGGAAGGACACAATGTCATTGCCTCTGGAGATGGGGACCTAGAGGATAAGGCTATCCACCTCCTGTCCAGAGAGCTGGTCATAAGTGCTTCGACCGTTGGGGTAATGCGCCCAAGCACATTGTTCCCATGATTATAGGAGGAAGCATTGCTGTGGGCACAGGGTTCCTTTTTGCTGTTTTCCCGCAGTTATATGAGATAGATGGAAGACCCTTCGATGCTTATATACATGAAGACAGAGGAGTTCCCAACACCCGCGGAAATTTACAACCTTGGGCTCCATCAGGAGCTAAGCCTACAATGGAAATTGTGAACTGCATCATCAAATGCACATTGGGTATCATGTACCACATGATTTGCAAACCTCAACAAAACCCCATGGCTCAAATTAGAAGAAGATTCAGTGCATTATACTCTACAGTCAAGCCTGGGGTCCAACCACCAGTGGTTGATATAGATCCTACGTTTGATTTAAAAGCAGCAGCATCCTGGCTGTCCTCCAAAGGACTTGACACCATCATCCTTGGCTCGTTACTGAATATGGAGAACCATAGTACAGTAGGGCCTACCAGGAAGGCATTCATTGCACAGATCAACCTCATTTCATCCTATGCAGAAATGACGCCCTTGCTATGAAGGCATTTGTGAATGAAGGCTTGTCAAGAGCGTCCATGCTTCCAGGTGTTGGCAGCAAGATCAAAGCCTTTACGGATGCAGAGAAGGCCTTGCGAGAGCAACATGGGGATACAATGTTCCCCTACCATAACGCTCTTCGGCTCCCTGGCCATGAAAGGCTTGCACCGGTCAATTTCCCTAATCTTTGCAAGGTCGAGAACACGAGAAAAAGAAGAATCGACAAGACATTCCATGATTACAAATCTACTGAAGAATCACTGTTATCACTGACTGATCGAGAAGTTGAGGATGCTGTTGCACAACCTCCCATGAAAAAGAAGATGATAAGTTCTGCAGATGCTGACGGGTTGAAGTCTGTCTTCAGAGCCACAGATCAAGAAATCAACGAAGCAACCAATAGTGTTCAAGGCAATGTGCCAGTGAGCCTAGAAGCCGCATTGCTCACGTTAACCGAAGCTCTCAGACGCAATTAAGGACTAGGCCATAAACCAGTAACCAATAAAAAACATGACACGATGTCGCTGAGAGTCCGCATCAGCACACTCGAAATAATTGCTGACAGATTGCTAGACAGTGATCAGGACGATGTCCAGCTCAGCTCCGAGGACGAGAGCAGGAGCGAAGCAGAGGAGATCTTTACAAGAAAAACACAAACAGGACGGAAGCCAGAAAAGAGGCCAAAGAAGGCACATCTCGCAAGGAGACAATGGAGATAACGGAATTAGCAGCCACAAGGAGTCTGTAACACTGGACCAGATGACAATGGAACAAACTGTCAGCCAAGTTCAGGGGATGCTGTCAGTGGCTCAAACTCAGTCGGCAGAATCAGGGTGTAGCATCCGGAGCGCACTGCTCCAACTGGTGGAGGTGCTGAAAAGACCCTCTGAATCACCTGGACCACAACTTAAAGCTCTTGAGGAAAAGACAGACAATGTTTTCAAAGAATTAAAGAATATACATGAAGAAATCAGTGATATTAAAAGACAAACAGGCTAAGCTTATCTTCTTACGTCGCTCCGTGTGCGCCACAATACGACTTATTCAATATGGAACCGAAATACCCGAGGTTAATGAGTTACTTATTCACTAAGAGCAATGCGGCATATGGCTTATCCATGTTGGATAAATTCCAAAAATCAAGCACAGTAATCGGAATCAGTCAAAGCATGTCAGTGAGATCCATTACGGAAGAAAGCAAAAGATTTAAAGATCAGCTCATATGAAGTATCTTAGCTCCTAATACAAGAGGATTAAACATCATTGATTACTTAACTCCGTGTAGTGTTGAAGGAGCTAATAAATTGCGGATAGCAACATGGGGGTGTGTACTTCATGGAGTAACTATGCCATTCATTGCTGAACAATTTGCATTGAGAAACAGTATCTGAGCTTGAGGTTGCACAGTCAATAATATTTTGACTGGGTAACAACTTGTTTCCAAGGGAGTGGATGGTACGAGGAAAACGCCCTCTTTACATTGGCTCATGAACATTTGTGAAAATAAACAGAGGTGCAATTACAGGACTACCAGAAGGCCGCATTGGCAAGATGGCAGAAGATTTAATACCAACTTGTGACTGGATTAAAATCAAGGGTGCTGTAGGACAACACTTAGCAAGATTACTATCTATTTTGTTGAGTGAAAAAGGTGTCCACACACCTGATCTTCCTGTAATAATGGGTGGCACCCTTACTCACAGGCTCCCAGGCCTCTGATGATCAAGCTGGACTTGCTGGTAGCTTGAATGTTTTATCTACACATGTAGGTTTTACCACAAACTACATGACTGACTTTGACAAATCACAAAAAGATTATACCATCCATTTCAGGCCGCTTTCCTACACAGACTTAACTTGTTATCTTCCCAATTACACTTCGGAATCCTTGCAAATAAAACTTACCTTACATTTTTGTGCTCAGGTTGCACAAGAGAAATTCAAGAAGACTTCTTTTCCTTGTCAAGACCTCCCATGTATAAGGGGATTCCAATAGATCACTTTTCAGCACAGTGGTTCTCAACCTTCTGGCCCTTTAAATACAGTTCCTCATGTTGTGACCCACAACCATAAAATTATTTTCATTGCTACTTCATAACTGTAATGTTGCTACTGTTATGAATCGTAATGTAAATATCTGATATGCAGGATGGTCTTAGGCGACCCCTGTGAAAGGGTCGTTTGACCCCCAAAGGGGTCACGACCCACAGGTTGAGAACCGCTGCACTAGCTGGTATGGAGACCCAGATGTTGCAGCAGGCTTTAAGCTAGGAGTAGAAATTTTCATGTCACTATACCAGGAATCCCGTGAGTTAGATTCATTACTTGACTCGGGCGAATCACCATGTCATTTAGAGAGATTTTCGCTGAGCCATTTAGAACCTCTACCAGGACACCTAATAATGGTATCTTTCTGGTATGCAGGCAGCCTACGAAGGAGTTTGGTTAGACCGGTGTCATCCTACTTAAAGGCAGTTGCATACATACCAACATCCTCTCCTACACTTCGATGAACATGCGATGTCATGTTCTCGTTATCAGACGGGAATCAAATATTTGACCCTGCATCAAAAATTGGAATTTTAAGCAAGTTGTTGCCTGCAAGGACATCATTACAAAATGCGCTCATTGCAAAGTTATTGCTTGCTGGATTAACATTCCAGTCCCAGAAGTAATGAAGGTTATGAGAGAATGAAGCTCGACAAGATCGAGTGTGAAGTTTCTTCATCACAGATACTGACTCCCTTATCGGGATGCTTAAGCCGCTTGTTAAGGCAGGAAAATGGAGAAGTGATGTTAAAGAGATGGTGTCTTTTATTAGAGGAGCAAGTTGCCAAATGCACTCAACTATTCATTCAATTCCCTTATCTCAGTTTTGGCATCTTTCCCATTTGCTTAAGGCTTTAGTTGCTTACAAAAGGGTTGAACTTATTGTTGTCTCCAAAGATACTCCTGTTGAAGTAATTGTTGATGTTTGTCATGTTACAAAGGTTGTGGTACACACTATGGGTGATCCTACTGTTATTGAACAAGCAGAATGTGCAGACTTGTGTGGAGCAGTTTCTGCAAACCTCCTGACACAATTATCACTTGCCACCCTTCAATCTGCAAGATTCTATTATGATCATGCAGGAGTAATTGCTGGCGCAATTCACTACAAGCCACTCGATGATGTATTTTCAGTTCAGGGGCCTTGTGGAGGGTTTCACACCATGTGTTTGATGGAAAATAATATTCCTATTGATCTAGGGGAGACCTGTTGCAAACCTTATAGATCTTCTGATCTCTGTCCAGCTGTATGCCCGGTGTCAGAATCTCTATTTAAACTTGTGGTTGTAAGTGCACTGGATTGCTTAGAAGCTATAGAGAGAGGAGTTTCCTCTACATTCAGGACAATCCAGGAGAGGAGAAACAGAATGGTCCAGGGAAGTCAATGAGGATGGAGGGCTAATGGTTCTGGTTCAACACCTCCACCAGTATCTTGAATTAATTCGTCGGGCATTAAACATTGTATGTAAACCACAGTGGATTTATTATTTACAAGATGTAGATGATGGATTAAATATTTCAATGTCTGGACCTGGCATGCGCGTGCCTGTCAGATCCACTGTTTCGTCTATGATTTTAATCTACAATAAACAAGTAGACATATCCTCCCTGGTCCGTCTCATAAGTGCCCGTTGCTGTCATTTAAGGAAAAAAAAAAAGGAAAACTATTATTAATGCTATCACAAAAGCAATGCCCTTACCAGTAAATAAATCTCTCCTTGATAATAGTAACTTAGTGCATTTATAACTCTCATTTAATCAAAACTTGATTTTCATCGACTCAACATTTTTTTTTGTTAATTCTCACTTGAGAATTTTTTTTCCATTGATTTTTAGAGAGAGAGTGGAAGGGAGGGGGAGAACAGAGAGAAACATCGATGTAAGAGAGACACAATGATAGGTTGTCTCCTGCATGCACCCTGACCTGAAGCCAGGGATCTAGCCTGCAACCAAGGTACATGCTCTTGACTGGAATCGAACCCCTGACCCTTCAGTCCACAGGCTGATGCTCTAACCACTTAACCTACTGGCCAGAGCTCAACATTTATCTTTTAAATGCAAATTTAAAATACCCTTGGATGGCAAAACATGTTTATTTACTCTGTGCTAGGTACAAAATGAAACTTCATGATATAGTAGTTCCTGCCCTCTAAAAGTTCAAAGGCAAGTCAATTAATGATTGACTGCAGAACAGCCTAGTTAAGTGTGTGTAAGGAAAAAAAAAAGACCTTCCCAGATGACCACAGAGGGAACACATGGGTCTCATCAAAGACCACTGTACAAGGAGCCAGAAGCCTCCAAAACTTGTTTTCATGGAATTCATCTGTAAAAACAAAACAAAACACAAAACCAAAAAGATGGGACAATATGAATATTGCTATATACTGTTGCTGGGAAAAGCATTTTTTCAATAATGTCCACTTCATATCACTTTGTACTAGGGACCATGGTAAGGGCTGAGATAGAGAAGGACAAGGCACACCTTGATACAGAGCTCATAGTCCGGGTAGGTGCCACACAAGGGCAGATATGTTATCACTCCAGAGGAGTCCCCTGTCCCTGTGAATGAATAATCTTCAGGCATGGTCAAGTAGTTAAAAAGAAAAATTATCCTAACCTGCATTTCAAAAGGTGAAACAAAAAGTTTTGTGTGGTTTTTTGTTTGTTTTATAGCCATTTAATATTTTTGAAATTAGGTCAGTGATTCAGGCTCAGCAGAAATGCTGATGCCAGGCCCCACCCAAAGTTTATTGCTTCAGAACCACTGGGGGCCTGGCAATTCTCCAGTCAAGAACTATTTATGTATGTATATATGTATGTATGTATTTTTGTTAATCCTCACCAGAGGCTATTTTTTCCACTGATTTTTAGAGAGAGAAGGAGAAAGGGAGGGAGGGAAGAAGAGAGAAGGAGAGAAACATCGATTGGCTGCCTCCAGGACCCAGTCAGATGGAATCTGTAACCCAGGTTTGTGCACCTTGGTGCAGAGGCCAGTACTCAAACCATTTAGCACACTGGCCAGGGCTAGCTATACTTTTTCTCACTGTCAATTATTAGGAAATATCCACATTTGTATCAACAGTGCTTTCCCAACCTTTAAAATAAAGGGTTCTTGACTCTCTGGCCAATGTGGCTCAGTGACAAGTGTTGGTCCTCCCACTGAAGGATTGAGGGTTTGATTCCCAGTCAAGGGCAAGGACCTGAATTGAGATTTGTCCCCACCCAGATGGGACACATTTGGGAGACAACCAATCCATGTGTCTCTCTCACATTGATGTTTCTCACTCTCTGTGCCTCCCTTCCATGCTCTCTAAAAATCAATGAGGAAAAAGTATCCTTGGGTGAGGGTTAACAACAAATATGTATAGTACTAGAGGCCTGGTGCACGAAATTCATGCACTGAGGGGGTGGAGTGTGTCCCTCAGCCTGGCCTGTGCCCTCTCACAGTCTGGGAGCCTTTGGGTGATGCCTGACTGAAGGCTTAGGCCTGCTCCCCATGCCACAACAGTCGGACATCCTTAGCCAGCTGTGAGCCCAGCTTCTGGCTAAGCAGAGCTCCCCCCTGTGGGAGCGCACTGACCACCAGGGGGCAGCTCCTGCATTGAGTATCTGCCCTCTGATGGTCAGTGTGCATCATAGCGACTGGTTGTTCTGCATATTAGCCTTTTATTATATAGAATAATACAACTTGAATAATTTTTGTGATTTAGTATCCATCAAGTGTTACAAAGAGGTCTTATTTAAAGAGAGTTCTTATTAAAAAGATTTCTAGCAAAAACACAATAGAGCGAAATATGGCACTATGGCAGTGCCAACCTCAGCTGCAGAGGTTTGTTACCTGCTGGTATTATTTGCTATCTGTGTTTACATGTGCATCTGTTTTCAGGAGAAGAAAAGCCGCTCAAGTGGGTCAAGATTATTAATATTAAACAACTAACCTTTAACTGAGAATTTACTGAGTACTATTATAAACAGGATACACTGATGCAGCATAGTTTATAGCATAAGCCTTAATGTCAAACCAGATCAGAGCCCTGGCTTCACTTACTACACTGGTAGCATCTGGGCATTGGAAATATACACCATCTTATAAACATTAATTATTGTTTAGTATTCATTTCAAAATCTAGTACAATTATAATGTGTTTGGAATTAAAACCCCAAAATTCACCAGTGGGTGAATTTTTACACTATATCTAGAAGCAATATTTAACATTAAAAACTTATTTTTTGAAAAAGAACACAAAATTGCAAAGCAGTTCGTGGTTACAAGCATGGCCCATTACAATACTGTTACCTTAGGCCTATCACTTGACTTTCTGGTCCTTATCCTTCCCTCCTGTAAAATCTTCCTGCCATAAGAGGATTTGACCATATCATTTCTTGAGGCCCCTTCCAGCTTCAGGAACATGTTACCATGAAATTACAAAATTTAATTGTTTTTCCCACTTACTTTCTTGCAAGGTGACAACAAGGAAGAAGGGAAAATAGATGTGTTTAAAGCATTTCCTATCAGATAGAAATATTGTAAGATTAAGGACAAAATACTCAAAGTTGGGGTCAACCTGATAAAAGCCCAAATGGCTGTTTAAAAGATTAACCTATCCATCTTGGAGACAGTATTCATTCATAATAGACAAGAAAAGTGCAAGAAAACAAATCAATCAGCAGAGGATCGCTGGCCTACAAAGAATGATGATCGAGGAGAGTCCAGCCTAAACACTTCAGTGGTCTGCACCCTCCAAAGCAAGTCAAAACCATAAATTAAGAGAAATATCTAAGGGATTCACAGGGTCAAGAGAAGCAACTTCCTTTATCTACCTAACCTATTTTGCAAAGAGTTGCTTTATATATACTTTTTTTCTTAATCCTCACCAGAAGATTTTTACTGATTTTATTGATTTACTTATTTTAGGGAGAGGGAGAAAGAAACATCCATTGGTTGCCCCCTGCACGTGCCCCGACCTCTCGGGTGCATGGGAGGCCGCTGTCAGCATGAGCCACACGCACGGCCAGGGCTGCACATCCTCCTGTACCATCGTTTACAAGCTCCAAACCGCGAGGGAAAGAGCAGACTCAAGATGTGGATCACACGGTCACTAAGAGACCCCAAATAATAGGTAGCGAAGGGTTTCAACACTTTATCTGATACTACCAGAAGCTGGTGCATCCTCGGACCTTTAAAACCTAAATAAAAAGTCCTGTATGTGCAGTAGGGCCCAAGCCCACGCAATAAACCACCCCCTTCTTCCGACCTACAGTCGCTCTGCGGTGCGACTGCTGCTTCCATCAGCTCGGCGGGAGGCCTCGGCGGAGGCGGTCACGGCCAGAACGCAGCCTCCGCCCCGCTCCGCTCCGTTCCCCCGAGGGGCGTGCTTGCACCTGAATAACGGGGTCCCGCGTCCCCAGGTCTTTAAGACGACCAAGCGGCCCTTTACCCTAGGCACAGTGGCGGCGCGCCGTTTAAGTTCCATTTTCGTCTGACCGCAGTGTCGACCGAGTGCCGTCTCCAGGCCTCGGGACCGACAGCGCTTCCCCAAGCATCCGCCCCGCGCCGCCGCCGCCCGGCCCGCCAGGGGCCGGAGGAAGCAGTGCCGGCCGCGGCGTTCCGGTGCGCGCGCGCGGCTCAGCCAATCGCGTGCTCGCCCGCCCCCCGCGGCCGCAGCGAGGCTGGCGCTGGGAAGAGGAAGAAGAACATTCGCCCTCCTCCTACCAGCGCGCGGGCGGCGGCGGCAGCGGCACCGGGGTCACGAACTCTGACCTTTCACTGACAAAAACAATAACAAACCCCCCCTTCCCCGCGACCCCGGCGGCGCCCCCGGGCCCGCCCCTGCTTTTACCTCGGCGTCTCGTCTCGGGTCCGCTGCCCCACGAGCCTGCGGCCCCGGGCTCCCGCCATCCGCCGACGCCGGGAGCCCGGCCTCCCCACGCCCTGCCCTCCGCGCCGGGGGCCGCCCGTCGCAGACACGGGACCTGCTCCGAAGCCGCTTTGGCGCCAAATCCTGAGGTAAAATTGAAAAAGGGGCCGGGGCGGGGTCGGGCCGGCGGCGGAGGGGGCGGGCCTGGCGCGCGGACATGGAGGCGCCGTGTCGGCGGCTGAACCCGACCTTTTTACCTTTGCCACGGGGCGGCAGCGGCGGCGCGGGACGCTTTGCATAGTGGGCCGGGCCGCTCCCTTCCCCTCCCCGCCCGCGCCGGGAGCAGCGAGCGGGCCCCCCCTGACCGGCCTGGCCGGCGCGAGGGTGGGGACAGAAAAGGGGGAATGGCCGCGGCCCCGCCTCACAGCTGGCCCTTCGCCAGCGCCGCCATTTTGTTCTCGATGGAGAGGGCTCTGGCTGGGCCGGACTTCCCTCCTCCTCCTTGTCAGCTTCCTCATCCCTGTGGTCCCTCCTTCCCTCACTCCCTGACTCCTCGCCCCTCCGCTCCTCGTGTGCCGTTGGCGGCCGCCTCGGCCCAACCGCCGTTTTTTCTGAAGGGGAGTGTGGCAGGCGGGTACGGAGTGCCGCCTCGTGAGCGACGGCTTTGCCGACCAATTGGTGCCCACACAGGAGGGCCGGGCCCTGCGCTCCTTCCTCCGAAGCTCTGCTGATTGGCTCGGGCGGGAGAGGGCGGTCCCCGCGGGGCGCTGGAATCCTGGCAGGGCGGGAGCAGGGGCGGGGCGCAGCTTGGGCTCCGGGGTCATGGGGGCGCGGCCTGGGCGGGAGCCGGGAGCACAGGAGAACCGGCGAGGGGCCGCGCGGTTTCCCCGGGCCTGGAGCGCGTCCAGGATGGGGGATGCCGAGCAATAGTGATAAAGGCGGCGAAGCATCTTGAGTCCACGTCGCTGACTCGTGGGGAAGACTTTTCGCAGGCTGGACACCCTTCAGGGCCCGGCTCTTTCCTGTATTTCCGGCGCAGCCGCGGGCGAATCTTGAGGCTCAACTTCATAGATTATAAAACGGGGAGAATGGGCGTTCTTGCCAGGCCGGACCTCCCTTCTCAGGACCGTTGAGTGCTCTACTCGGAAAATGGAGTCAAGGCTACTTTGTGAACCCCAGAGTGATGTAAAAATGGTGTTATTGTTGAAAATCGGGTGTAGAAGCGCCAGGAATGGAAAGCTTAAATGTATTGAGGGCTTGAGAGAACACAGGTGAATCAGGTAATTCTCTTCTCACTCATTGATTAAATGCTTGTTTGCTTAGTTTGGGGGCACTGGGGATACATCCAGAGAACTAGCTAGACAAGGCCTCTCTCCCCTCTTAGAATTGGGGATGGGGGTGAATAGGCAAATAAAAATACGATTTCAGAGAATGGCAAATTCCAGAAAAGAAACGAAACTGAATTAAAGAAGATATGAGGAGACAAAATTAGATTGGGTGGTCAGAGAAGGCCTCTGTAAGGTGGTGCTTGAACCGAGGAACCTAAGGGGGGGGGGGGGGGGAGAACAAAACAAAACAAAAAAACACGAACCACAGGTGTAAAGGCCCAGGTGTAAAGGAAGGAAAGCATTTGGTGTGATTGGGAACAGGCTGTAAATTGGTTAGAACTACTTTGTTGTTCTTTCTATTATTCTACTCTACCTCCAGGCTAAAGTCTGTGAAATATGACAAAGGTAATAGTAAATCTTCAGTTTAACAATGAAAAAGAAAGAGTCAAGGAAAATACAGCCATAAATGAATTGCTGATAAATATATGACTTGGGGGGGGGAAACCTCAGAAAATCACAGATTCAAATCCTTTGTCAGCCCCTTATATCCATCTTCAGTTCGTCAGGTATTTGCCTCCGGAATTAGGTGCCAGACTGGAATACAGAGATGACTAAAACGCGTGAATGTGGTTCTATACACAAGTTCTGTTTTCTCCCTCTCTCATCCCCATATACACACACACACACACACAAAATGTTTTAAGCCAAAGCTAATTACTGTGTTGGTTAACAGTGTCAGCATTTACTAGCTGTGTGACTTTGGGTAAGTTACTTAACGTTTTTGAGCCTTACTGTCCTCATCTGGACAATAATAGAACCTTCTAGAATTGAGGATTAAATGGGTCAAAGTAAATAAAGCGCCTTGCACATAGTAAATACTAATAATTGGAATTAAAGGATATAAATGGTGACATTTTTAGTCATGTGGTATAGGGGCAAAACACTGGATTGGAACACTGGGGTTCTAGTTTTGACTGTTCTGCTTTTGGTTATTAATTGGCATCCAGACCAGAAATTTGTTTAGAAAACAAATGGAACCAATAGTCTAGCAAAAAGTATGGGGTACTTTACAATTTACAAGACTCTTACAAGCATTATGTTGTTCATACCCCACTAGAACCGATGTAATTGTGGAGGTCCTTTTCCTGCTGTTTTAAACTTTCTAAGATGTTCCATCATTTTCTTATCACTGTACCCCTAACCCCCTGCGCTCTAAACACACTGGCTTGCCTTCAACTTCAACCGTGACTCACCTTAACCCCAGGCCCTTTCACATGCTGTCCCCTCAGCCTGAAATCCTCACAAGCCCTCTTCCACCACCCCCCCACCTCCCCACCCCCATACACACACACACCACACACATACATACCCTAGTCCTGCAGATCTCAGCTCAAGCATCACTTCCTCAGGGTAACCCTCTCTGATGCCCAGTGCCAATCTAGATCAGATTCTTTTACTACACTGTATTTTTCCATTATAACCTTAGTCTCACTTTGTAATTATACTCCATTATATGATTGATTGATATGTGTTCCCCTTACCTTGAGGTAAACTGCATGAGAGCAGGAATTATTTCGTTCATTATATTTACAGCACTTAGCAGAGTGCCTGGCACTATTTGTTGAGTGAATTAATTGATAATTTATGATATCACTGGTAACTAAGTTACTGCTCATTAATGGTATCTTTTTGTGGGGGCTTGTTTGGCAATTCAGATAGCAGTGCCAGCAATAAAATGTCTATTACAGTATTTGGATGATTTTAGAAAGTGGCCCCTCACAGATGGCACTGACTGGAGACATGAATTTCTTTTTACCCACTTATATGTTGATTTTATGTTCTTTTTAAAGACCAGAAATAGATAACTTAATAATAAACTGAATTACAAAGTAAATTAATGAAAGTTGATGAGTTCATATGGAACTCATTAATAAACAAATAGTCCAAATATAACGATGTCATTTACTTTAACTCAGCGGTTCTCAACCTGTGGGTTGCAACCCCTTTGGCAGTCGAACGACCCTTTCACAGGGGTCGCCTAAGACCATCCTGCATATCAGATATTTACATTACGATTCATAACAGTAGCAACATTACAGTTATGAAGTAGCAATGAAAATAATTTTATGGTTGGGTCACAACTTGAGGAACTGTAGTTAAAGGGCCAGAAGGTTGAGAACCACTGCTTTAAATGAAGAAACAAAGCACCAATATGATTTTCTTGAAATTAAAAATGCTAGTCTTTGTTTCTCTATCACAGGGGAGAGAAGTAGGTTTGCAGGGAGATGAGAGCTGAAAGTCTCTGTGGTCATTTTTATTTTTTAAAAATTTATCTTTATTGTTGAAAGTATTACAGATGTCCCTTTTAACACCATTGGCCCCCTCCACTCTGCTCTAACACTCCCCGCCCTCCCTCCCTGCAGGCCTTCACCATATTATTGTCTGTGTCCATAGGTTATGCATATAAGTTCTTTGGTTAATCTCTTCCTGCCTTCCCTCTGAGGTTCATCAGTCTGTTCCATGCTTCCATGTTTCTGGATCTACTTTGTTCATCAATTTATTTTGTTCATTAGATTCCACATGTAAGTGAGATCATGTGGTACTTGTCTTTCTCTGCTGGCTTATTTCATTTAGGATAATAGTCTCCAGGTTCCTCCATGCTGTCTCAGAGGGTAAGAGATCCTGCTTTTTTACAGCTGCATAGTATTTCATTATGTAAATCTGCCACAGCTTTTTTATGGACTCATCTGCTGATGGGCACTTGAGCTGTTTCCACATCTTAGCTATTATAAATAGCTCTGCTGTGAACATAGGGGTGCATGTATTCTTTCTGATTGCTGTTTCAGGATTCTTAGGGTATATTCCTGGAAGTGGGATCACTGGGTCAAATGACAGTTCCATTTTTAATTTTTTGAGGAAACTCCATACTATTCTTCATAGTGGCTGCACCAGTCTGCATTCCCACCAGCAGTGTACTAGGGTTCCCTTTTCTCCACATCCTCGCCAGCGCTTGTTTGTTGATTTGTTGGTGCTAGCCATTCTGGCAGGTGTGAGGTGATACATCATTGTCGTTTTAAGTTGCATCTCTCTGGTGATGAGTGATTTTGAACATTTTTTCTTATGTCTCTTGGCCATCTGCATGTCTGCTTTGCAGAAGTGTCCATTTAGGTCCTTTGCCCATTTTTTCATTGGATTATTTATCTTCCTTTTGTTAAGTTGTATGAGTTCTTTATATATTTTGGAAATTTATCCCATATTAGATGTATCATTTGCAAATATGTTCTCCCATACAGTGGGATCCTTCTTCATTTTGTTGATGTTTTCCTTAGCTGTGCAGAAGCTTTTTATTTTGATGTAGCCATTAATTTTAAATATTTATTCTTCCAAAGATAAATGGATTCATGTAACAGAATTATTGAAGAATAACCTTTTAATTGCTTTCCCAAGTTTAAAAGCTTACTTTGCAAAGTATATGTTAAGCTTCCACTTGAAAGTCTGGTAAATAGACCATTTTTGCTGACTTATTCTACATACTACTTACTTTTTATGTGTTTTTATTTTTTATTTCAGAGAGAGAAGGGAGAGAGAGAAAAA